AAATTAACTTTAAAAGATAAGAACTATCTACTTCAAAGAGAAAATGAATCATCTGGCCTTAGGAAAATAGATCACAGAAAGCAACAAGTACATCCAAAATCCACGAGAGAAGACAGTTTTCCCCACCATCAGTAGAAAGTTAGTGGCAAATAATCACCAGAAACACCGATAAAAGACTACAACAGGAACTCTGCCGTCAGAACCCAGAGCCACTAGAACATCTCCTTACATGAAAGATCACATAACACCAATAAGAAAAATAATTCTAAAAATACAGTGTAAATAATGAAAGCAGATATGAGGAAACAGAGCTCTTCGAAAATGGGGAAAGCCTTCACACTGGGAAAACAAAACCCAGATGTCCCCGGAAATCATCTTTCAGCCACGAAGCTGCATCCCCGGGAGAGAGAGGCCTTCATGTTCCCAGAGCTCACGAGACTCAAAATGCCACAGCTTATTAGAAGGTGTCTAGCAGCTTCTACGAACCTAACCAACACGTGCCACTTAATTCAGCATTCCTGCTTTTGTGAGTCAAATCTCTTCTAACAAAAGCCAAAATATTTAGCTCTAATGTTTTAATACCTGTCAAAAGGGAAGGATTTAATAAATGGTTTAATAAATGTGGTGGAATATTACACAGTTTTCAAGTATCCGAAAAGAATATTTGGGTATATTATTTGGGGCCTAAAAGGACGTCCGTGTTGTTGAGGGAGAAAGAGGGGCTGTAAGAGGGCCTCTGGGCCCACAGTACTGCTTGAGTAAGAAGACGCGGGTGACCTTCGAAGCTGCAGGAGAGCACGCGGTCCTCGGGGGGAGGGAGGTGTGGAGGCCAGCCCGGGATGAGGAAAGGAGGCAGCAGTGGAGGCAAAGGAAGTCGTCAGTGAAGTCAGGGAACATCCAGAGCGCCAGGGAGCACGGGGCGTGGTCAGGTGGAGTCAGCTCAGGAGGTCTCCCGTGCACCCAGCCTTGCCACCTAAGGTGGTTTGAAGTGGGCTCAGGGAGGCGTGGACGGTAGGTAGCAAGAACAGGGCCACAGGCAGAGATGGGAGCCGAGAGCTAAGGCACACATGCAGGCCACCTTCACGTGGAGGCCATCTGTCCAGGCACGCCCACGACGACAAAGGAAACGGTGGGACTCAAGGGACTGGGGAACCCATGGAGTCAGCCATCTGACTATGTGAAGGTGGGCATATGGGGTCACCTAGTCACCTGATGGAAATGCTGGAAGAGACTGGTGACACAGGAGAGAAAGCGGGTGGCAGAAGAAGGAGGGAAGCCTTTGGGGAGGCGAGAGTGGACAGGACCAAGGGCACACTGGCTCTCGGCGAGTACGGGGTGGGCCACTCACCAGGGCAGAAGAGTGTGGCTCACCTCATCTGGATGTTTCTGCTTTGCACTGTGGGGAGCGAAGGCCAGGCAAGGGCTCTGGGCAGCAGCGCTTGTGCACGGTCAGCGTGCAGGAGAGCACCATCCACCTGCCTGCTGGAGACTCAGGATTCTGACTCTAGAAGGAAATCACTTTGCTTTCCCTCTGATGACCTTCAAGATCATCCAGCTTCTTTGGTGTGAGGACAACACCCTGGCAGACTGGGTTCAGCCTGCGGCAGGCATTTGCCACTTGAGGGAAGCAGAGGGCACTGGGATCGAGGCCTGGTGACTCGGGGTTGACCCTGCCTGTGAACTGAGCAGAGTGCCAGTTACAGGAGAGGGAGAGGCAGAGGGTCTGTGCATGTCCAGTGGATGCACAGCTGCTGCCCTGCAGGTGGACAGGTGCAGTGTGGGGCAGAGCAGAGCAGGCCTTTAGTGGAGGTGGCATCCTGAGAATCAGGGACAAGAAGAAAAGAAGGGTGACCCACTTACTATGGCATATACCAAGCTTTCTGCCACAGTTCATTCTTGGTTGAATCAGCAGCCAGGAGAATATCCACTTCATCCTACTTTAACCTAAACCTATTGCAAATAGTGCTTCTCTGAACCCAGGTGCTCAGAGGGCTGAACCAGGAGAGAAAGGGCTGGGCAGAGTGGCAGCAGTGCTCTGCTCCTGAAGGCCACTGGAGCAGATTGACCAGGTGGACTTCTAGCTTCTGCTCCTGTTTGCTAAGAGAGAAACAGAAGCAGAGCTCCAAGGTCATACAGAGCCATACAATTAGGAGCCCATTACTTCCTGGAGTTCCATTTCTCACTCCTCCATGCACCTCAGCTGAGCCATCTGGCCAAGTTCATGTTACCTCTGACCAGGGCAGACGCCGTGTGGCCAAGGAGGAGTGCATACACAGACACAGGCACAGGACTGAGGTGGGCTCTCACTGCAGATCCACCTGAAGGTAGTCATAGTCACAGAAATAAATGAAACATCTGTATTTTTGTAGAAGTGGTCTTAAATTATCTTGATATAGCCACAATAAATTTCTGGAGCTTAGCTTTTACATTCTATATAAAACATACTGAACCTAGAATTCAGTCCATCCCCTGCAATCAGAAATGATAAGGATCTAAGCCATTTATTTCTAAGAATATCCTCTTAGACTGCCTAAAAGTTTTCCTCCTATGACTGTAAAAGTAAAATATCTCCATTGTAGGCCATTTTGAAAATAGAGGGATTTCTGAAAATCACATAAACTCATAAACCGGAGATACCTCAGGTAGATTGACAGGAGACCTTTCGCACACAGGTGATCTAACATTGAGTCCTGAGCACTCCAGGCTACTGAACGTTCCTGGTAAACAGTAATCTTAGTTGCCTGACATCGCGGGAAGCCTTCCTTACTCTGTCCCCTGTAGCACATGGGACGCTGTGGCCACTCACTGCCCCTGCCCTGGAACTCAGCCACTCCCTGCTTTGCCTCCTGTACTCGGTGATAAGCCAGGGCCAGAAGGAAGAGAGGAGGTGATAGCAATGAGGTCAAGGGAGGTGGGAGAGAGGGTGAAGAGTGGGGCAGCTGGGCATTACCTGTGGATTAGCTTGGCAGGGACAGGGAGCCAGCCGGGGGTCTCGTGCACCAGGAGCAACCACTAACTCGCACACCACGGTGCTTATAGTAAACCTTCTCAGACCACAAAGGCCTAGCTTTACCTTCGTAGGAGAACCACCCTTTAGATCCAGCTGAAGACACATTCTGAGCACCTAGGAATCCCTCAGCTGGCTCAGCACCAGGGACATTGACCTTCTGGACTCCTGGGGGCCCGTCTCGCCGCCCTGCAGAGGGGCAAGCTCTCGGTGAGGCTCACGCTTCCCAGTGTCTCACAGGCCGGCTACATACACTCAGCTGGGAAGAGGAGAAGCCTTAGGCAGCAGTGCCTGACGGCCTGGACAAATCCATCAGGAATGTCTTATCAAAGCATTTGGAACATTTTCATGAACAAAGGTTATTAATTTTCATTAATTAAAAATTATTCATCCCTTAAACCATTAACTCAGATTTCATCTCTTATACTGATGATTCTAAGAATGACCTCAAAGGCTTCCATTGACTAAATAGCCTCACTTCTTTTAATTTCCTGTAATTCTGTACTCAAACAATCCAGCTCAATAAAAAGTAAGATGAGGTGGGAAGGGTCACTTTACAGGTTGGATGACCACAGCTCCCCTCCCCCATGTCTTTGTCACTCTGTCCCTTTTGCTTTGCCCAGCTTCCTCAGCTGCCGTCTGTCAGGTGTGTTCATTTTCCCAAGTCAGCACCCAGTTTCCTCGTGGGAACGATGCAGAGGGTTTTAGGAATTTCCTCTGCAGAGGCACAGACAGGAAAATAATGGCATTGAGTTGGTGCAGTAAAACATGAGAAGCGACATGAAAACCAGCCGCGAGCACTGTCCAGTGTGTGCCACCCAGATAACCCCAAGCTGCACGAGGTCAAACGAAGGACAGCTACATGACGCTTAAATATACTGCATGTTCCCAATATTTAGTAATCAAAGAGCTCATCTACAAACTTACAAGCTGATCAGTGCATTCTTTTTGGAGTTAAAATTGTTCTGCCAGCTAAAAGCCCTCTGCTTTTGGCAAGCTAAAGAGTCACATTTTATCTTCAGTAATCACAGAGTTGTAGTTCCTGTATTCATTCTCCTCCAAAGACAAGAGAAAGCCACATATTCTCTCCTTATCAATCATTATTTAGTGTCCTCTAGGAGAACACTCAACATTCATCTGAAACGTGTGTTCCCTTCACATGTTACCTAGTTTAACATTGTGGTGTCCTTTGCCGGCAAAACCTTAATCCTACCAGGAAACCATTTTCTAAAAATGTCATCTGTCCCTTTAAGATCATGATATAAAGGTACAGAAGTTTTCAGAAGTGCTATAGAGGAAAGGAATGGAATCTAGTGAGCTACTTTTGCTCTAAATATGTCTTCCTTCTCATTGCCATCCGGAGGGGTCTAGATGCAGGTATTAGCTAGCTCGGGAAACCCTGCTGATATTCAAGCCATGAAGACATCCCCAATGAGCATATCAGCCAGTGGAAAACTATTTTTCACCAGATGAACATCAGGGAAGAGCATTTGGTACAGAGTCACTGGAAGGTGCACAGCCCAAGGACAAAAGTTCACAGTCAAGGATAACCCTGAAGATCAAGCTGAGAGGCAGCATCCAACGCAGGCTGCATCAGGGAAACTCTAGAGGAAACATGTAACTACACGACTTCACACATGCATTTATAATTACATTCTGTGCACTTTATTAATATGCACTAATGCCCAGAAATATTTTATAGGATTTCTATGTCTTGCTCCCCCACCCCTTTTTGTTGCTCTACATATCTTTAAAAAATAAAGCTGAAGTTTTAAAGATATCTGTTAGTATAGCAGTTGGATGAATATGGAATTATTTCACCATCAGAAATTAAAAGAAAATATATTCAGCCTGTATGGCTTTCCGAGTCACCATTCTCCGACACTCATCCGGGTGTGGTACTCCAAAAGACCAGCCTGAATTTTGGCATCTGCATAAAACAATGCTTCAAGAAGACAAACGAGCACAGGAGCAAATCACCAAGCTTACTTACAGCACTTGATAAAATGATAGTGAGACATCTTTCCCTCTCAGGCAGGAGGCTTGCTGCTACTGGTTCCAGCATTCTCTTCTGCTACAACTGTCGTCCCCGAGAATGCATTATTCAGAGTCCTTACTCAGGTAACACTTTACCTCGGGATGCATTATTGAACCAAGGCTCCGTTCCATGATCGAGCAAAAAGCTCCCAACTCATTCTCATTCAGCACCTGGAGTTCAGAGAAGCCTCCGGTGGGTTCTGAGCCACCGCGCTGCACGTGCTATTGTAGCACCCTTGATTGACACGCTCCTGGTGCCAGGATCCCGGGGAGAGTCAGCGCTAATTGGTGCTCTCCCACGGCCACAGTCTGCCGCACGCCCCGCGCGGAGGTGTGCTGCAGTGCGGCGGCTCTCGGGTCCTGCCTGTTAATGGCTTTTCAATAGCTTTCGGATGGCAGCAAACTAAGCTGATGAACAGGCAGGAGGTAAGTAACCGAGCAAGGGATCCTCGATCTGTTTGTGCTTATTGTCCATCATCCAAGCCTGACCAGATTCTTCGCTGCTGGCAAAGCTGATTATTTTTAGTTGCCACCAGTTGCTGTGTGTGAATAGGAAATTGACAGCAAGGGCTCAAAATAACCAGCTCCTAGAATCAGAGATCCTCCGATCTGCCTCTAGTGATGAAGAATCTGCATTATGCTTCACAACACATCCTTTTTGGTTATCTATGCAGAATGCAAAACTTAAATTATCCACGAAAAGCTTTTGGTCTTGCATGGCTTTAAAATTTAGAATTTTGCTACCTCTGCAGGCTGCAATGAATTTAACTGTACAACCTTAAGGGGGTGAAAGAAGTCTGACTGAAATGGAATCAGAAAGAAGAATGACTTTGTGACATTTGCCAGTCAATGGATGGATCTGGAGACTATAATAATAAGTGAAATAAGCCAATCTCCAAAATCCAAAGGTTGAATGTTTTCTCTGATAGGTGGAAAAGCTAACCCACAATAAGGAGGTGGAAGGGGAAGAATACAAGTTCAGAGGAGTAGACAGAGGGGAATGACGGGAAGAGAAGGGGGATAAGAAAAGGAAAGTGGACGAATCTGACATAACTTTCCTAGGAACATACATGAGTACACCACAGTGAACCTTACCAGGTGTATATCCACAGACTGGGTCCTGATTAGAATGAGTTATATTCCATGGTTGTATGATTATATCAAAATGGACTCTACTGTCATGTATAACTAAAAGGAACCAATAAAATATTTTTTAAAAAATTTTTTAAAAAGCACAATTTAAAAGTCATTTCAAGTAGTGCTGTTTGTCAAGTACTTGTGTTTCCATATTATCTGAAAATAGCTGATGTCAAAGTAAATTACTCTACATAACAGAAAAAAAAGAAATACATGTTCTCCAAAGGTCTACTGTAATAAATATAAATACCATATCACAATGTAATATAATTCAATAGCCATGTTAATCACACAAAAGGTCACATTTAAGTTACTTGTAAATAAAAATTGTGAGTTTCTTTTTTTTTTTTTTGCAGATTGACACGTTTTATGATGATCCTCTCTTAAAGCAAGTTAACATAGTCAAGAATTTGTTTCAGAGTTTGAAGCCATTGAAAGGGTAAAAATGAATGATTTGTCAAACATTCATATATTTTTGTAGTAGAAACATAAATCTTAGATTCCCTTACTAAGTAAAACCCAAAAGGCAGTGCTTTCATTAAGTAAGATTATAAAACTAAAATTTATATGGTAAAGGGTCATGATTATTCACTGAATTGCCTTCTGGGCATTTTAAAATGTGATGTAAAAGAACAAGATGAAAGTTTCTATCAGAACAGTTCAAATCCAGGTTGTGCTGCTAACCGAGAGTCACATGGACCTCTTATCCAACCTGCTGGACCCTGGGTTTCCTCATCTACATATATAAGTGTAATTTCCAACCCTCATTCTGTAGGTGGGAAATAAAGCATGGAGAAATTATAGTTTATATTGTTGGTGATCAATAAAAAGTTACCATTAAGGCTAACGGGAGAATCATGTGATCCTCAGTACACTGAACCTCGCTTTCTCAGGAACTAGGATGGGGATGCACACCCTTCTGCAGTAATGCCGACCCTTTTTTATTTCTTCTTCCCACCATTAGTTATCGAGAGTTATTGTCCGACAAGTCTCCATGTTGGGCACTATTCAGTAATAAATCTATGGCCTCAGCCTGTGCATAGTCTAAAACAGCCTTAAATCAGGGATACACAGCCCACTTTTTAGGGTTTCCTTTTGTGCTGTGTAACTCTAATGACCTGTAAGCAACGACAGAGTCTATCATGCCATGCGTTACCCTGTCACCCTCCTTAGTCAGCACAGACCTTCACACACATGACCTTCCCTGATGAGGTGCATGTGGCAGAGTCCAGGGTCTCTCTGAGGAAGGTCCTCCCTTCAGATGTCCCCACCTCCTCCTAGTGGCACAAGCCAGATAAGCGCATGCTGTCTGCACACCTCTCTCCTCCCCAGCCGCTTCCGTTTCTACTAGATGCGTGCCTCTGCCTGGGTGCCCAGCACAGATCTCCACAGCTGAGTCCTGGGACACCAGTCACTCTTTTATTTTTTGGACCAGGGAATGAACTCAGGGACACTTAACCACTGGGACACATCCACAGCTTTGTTTAACATTTTATTTATGTAAAATTGCTAAATTGCTGAGGCTGACTTTGAACTCTTGATCTTCCTCCTCAGCCTTCCCAGTGTCTGGGATTACAGGTGCCATTGTGCCTGGCCACTCACTCTTTAAAGTGGAGGAGCATGGGGGACAAGAGGAAAAAAAAAAAGTCATTGAAAATATGATTGATTTGAGCCCTAAAAACCCGTTTTTAGATGAGGTTCGGGCAGGGAACCTCACGGTACCTGGGAGAGTAAACATCTCTTCCCATACTCCCAGGGCTCATCAGCAGACAACTTTGTTTTTCACTTAGTTGTTTATTCTGTAAACATTTGGCAAGTCATTGTGTTGGGCCTCATCCCTGCCCTCAGAGTGCTTGTGCCTGGTGACCTGCAGACAGGAATCAGGTCAGATATGGAACTGGATGGCCCAGCGGCACATTCGAGGAATCACAAAATTGGAAATGCAGGTCCTGAAGCCAACGGGAGCAACACCTGGTCCCCTGAGGCCTCCAAGAGGGATCCACCAGGAGCACGTGCAAAACATGCTTCACACGCGTGACCTGTGTTAGCCTGGGCTTCTACACACAGAGAAGAGGCCCTGCTGTCTCCACACAGGCAGGATCAGAACATGGGGTAACTATGTTTGCCACATGGAACTACATACGGCTTCACTTTTTTTCATTGTTATAAAAGAAAAAATTTGTTTCTAATGTGGAAATTAATATTGAGGGAAAATAGAGTTGGCTCCATTAACTTTGCTTCCTTCATAAAAAAGTAAAAAACGGTAATTTTTCATGGATTAAAATTTCTTGATCTATGCCCATCCCTAAGAAACTCAGCTCAACCACATGGATTATTTTGAAATCCTACATTTTAGATATAATATCAGTTAATGATGGCAGCAGTGAAAAGCTGAGGCTAGAGTTATTGTTAGCAATTTATCCATTTTGAAGAATTGGTCATTAAGTACAAAATTAAATCCATACATTTGAAAAAAGGGGGTTGTTTTTCATTGCCAGAAAACTTACCAACTAATAAAGCACAAATATTTTATTATTTTTAGGATTATTGCAATACACTATTGTTCTCACTGAAATGTCACACATTTCAAAAGCAATTTTGAATTGTCAAGAATCTTCTCTTTCATACACAAACAGCTGCTAACTATTCATACTATTTCTGATAAAAACACATGATTTTTTTCTTTCAAATGTTAGCATTATGATACACCAGATTTTTTTCAAATAAGGCGGAATCATTTCTCAACCAAAAAACCACCCATAAAACTGTAATGATTCTAGTCAGAGACAAGCACTTTAAAAGTACATATTTGCTTAGTAAATATACATTCATATGCCTCAGGTGAGACACTACTTGACAGTCTCATTTATACACAGCCTGTTTGGAGTGTGTACAACACACAGGCCCATTATTCCAGTCTTTTGATGAATAATTCCTAAATCTAATTGTTTCCATATTTTAGACCTTATTAAGTAATAGCATTAAAACTGAAGTCCTCCAACATCTCCATTAGTAGGGTGTATATGCAAGGTAGATTACAATAAAAATTCCAAAAGAGGAAGAAGACTACACATGAATTTTTCTATAAGGCAAATTCAAGCGCTGTGACAGGCATTCTAGCCTCGGCCCTGGGAACAGATTGCAGCTCCACACATCAGACGTTGATGAAGAAAATCCCATTACGTTTAGGAACCTCAACCAGGGGTGAACCCCTCACACTGGCTGCAAAGTACACGTGTAATATTCCCTGTCAGGAGAGTGGACCTCTTCCGGGTGGATGGTGTTGAGATTCCTCCTGAGAACATGACCCTGGTCTCATGACTCAGGGTCCCATGAGGTTTATAGAGTTCTTTTCTGAAAGCAGCAGACAAGGCATGACCTGAGTTGTCAAGAAGAAAACTGCGGAAGGAAACTCAGCTCTTGCTGTAAAACGGGCCTCACTGGTTAACCAAGTGCCTTTCGACCAGGATTCAGCCTGCCTTGCTTGATTGGCAGCTACCTGCCTTTCTGGTCACGTCCTTGTCCTTGGTGTGCCCACTGCTGCTGACCGTGAGCTCAGCCAGCCTTGTTCAGCCACTGGCTGGCCCATGCAGGACTCCACAGGACGGTGGGCTCACCCCAGCCTCTCACATCTCCCTTGTCTCCAGCCAGAACAATGGTCATGAAGTTAGACGTGGGCAATCGGGGGGCCCAAAGAGGGGACTTACGCTGCAGATCGGCATGGCAGGAAGAAAGCAGAGTGTCCTCTCTGAGTCAGCAGAGCACTCACCCAGCTCGCCTGCTTAAAGATGAATGTGCTATGTGTGAGCCAGAAAACACTCATTACCATTGATTCTGGTATTTTCATAAAATAGCAATAAAAATTTCATAGAACACAATTTTAAAAATTGCTCCACAAAAGACTAAAGATTGCTTTTCATGTCACATAATATAGAGCAATATAAAAAGATAAGCACATGTGTGCATTGGTATGGATACAGGGCCACACAGCCACATGCACGGGCTATGATAGATGCTCTAATTGCTCCTTATGGGCATCTGCTCACCCACTTTCCTTTGGGGAATATTTTCCCCTAATCAAAATGAAATGTTTTGAACTTTAGTGAACACCAATTAAATTGGGTATCTAGGAAAGAACATTTGTGAAGCATTTGTAAAGCGTTTCACTTGAATGCCAAAAACCATGTTGGAACCTCTCCGGCAAGTGTTACGACTACCAGGAAGCCCTTTCCTTTTTCAGATGTGTCTCCCCTCCCTGAACCCTGACTGGGAAGCGCGTTCACTGCTCTGAGCTGGGTGGGGTTGGCAGGGTTAG